TGGCGGCTGCTTAATTTCGGCGATATTGATTCGTTACAAGCAAAACAGACGCACCGATTTGGACCCACAGATGTCTCGTCGACAAATCAGGCCTGCTTCAAGACAATGCTGGCGAACTGCCAGGCGTTACAGGCGAGGATCCTCTCTTTAAGACATGGGTCCTCGTTCGACGCAAATTTCTATACAAGCGACACGAACCCAAAGCAATCATTCGCGTCGTTGTGAAGAATATAAATAACACAATCGCTCGGCAGACAACACGTGTCCTTCGCAGATATGTGTGCGCGTGTCTCTCTCCACATGTAAAATGAATAAATAAATACATAAAATATTCTTTCCACGTTGCCATCGGCCCCACGGCGGCCTCTTAGGAGGGAATCGTTTCGGCGGCACGGATTTATGTCGAGGATGGATGCCGGTTGGCGTCTCCGTGGGCAAAGCGGTCGGCGGTGTCTCACGGGCAGCACGGGCAGCGAGGGCGGTGTCCCTGCTCGAACGAGCATCGATCCACCGGTGCCTGTCTCCTGCTTTACAGCGGGTGAAATCGGTGGGTGGTGGAAATTCCACACCGAGCTCCCTGGCGACAGACGGCCGCAATTGAGTCGCAACATCTTGACCAGAATTGGCTGTCCGGTCATCCTCATGCTCATCATCATCGTCGACCCACGGGGGCACGGCTCTCAACTGTTTACCTCTCTAAGTTGGCATTCGGCAAATGTTAATGTAAACCACGCTGAATCTGACGTGCTGCATTGTTGTGTGTGGGTGCAGTCACTGTCGAGCGGGCTGAGACCATCAATTCATTGCACGTGAGAAGCCCGCCCGGTCGCATTAGAGGCGACAGAAATCCGATTCCAAAGCCAGGATCTCAGCTGTTCCGGCTCAGCACTTTGACCCCTGAGCTACCTGGGCACCTCTAACTTTGGTTCAAATATACTACCCAACAATACAAAAAAATGTTGTTGTTGAGAGTGACACGAGGTGTGGGTTGTAGGGGGGGGGGGGCGATTTGGCCATACCTCCCCAGGCTATTAAAACTTATTTATTTTACTAAGTAAGGCCAACTGAGCCATATAGCTCTTTCTCAGAAGCGACCTGACCACAAATGATAGCTCAACGCGGTGGCTTATCGCGTGGAAATTTATAGCAGCCAAATACTCTGAACGCACGTGAATTCTAAATGTGGAGGGACAACCCGGAGGACAATCCACGCGTCCGCGTGGGGAGTAGAGACACGAAATCTCCTAAACGTGCAGGCGTCAGTGTCGGGATCGAACCCAAGACCTCCTGCATTCCAAGCGAGGTAGTTAACATCTCGCCACCGTGGCGCCCCCAAGCGTACAAGCACGGTACGGCACAACAGGGAATCTTTGGTGCAACTGCTCTCTGCTGCCTCGCGGTGAGCGTGGGTGTACACGCGCCTTGTTATTTTCAAATGCGAGGTGCTCGCCAATCGCGGTGCGATATCCAGGCCCCAAAATAAAATAAAAACCCTGCCTAGCTTCCGAGATCCGCCGATACAGTGAGCGTGGAGCAATAAAAAAAAAAGTTGAACAAAACATGCGAGGAACGTTTTCCGTTTCGTGATTTAGCGCGGTGCGGAAACCACAAAGGCACGGGAAGGGGGGGGGAGGGGGGTGGAGGGGAAGGTTGTGTGAGACTGAGGTGGTGAAAAATTACGGAAATCAGACCCCCCCCCCAACCCTGACCCGAATCTTCCTCCAACTTCCTCCACCCACAGTCGAGCAAACGACCGCTTTGACAAAGCAAAGTTCTTCTAAATTTATTATATATTTGGGGGGGGGGGCGGGGGGGGTTCACAATCAGAATGTGTGTTCATACTGGCGGAATCCGATGAGCTATACAGTTCATTTTCACAGATGTCCCGGGGCTGGCCAAGTTACCGAGTTCGTGTTTATTAAAACCCTCCACCACCCAACACAGCCAAATAAATTATAGAACCACTTTTAACGAGTTGATAATTAATTCACTGTTTTTGGCTACATAAACTACGCAATTTTTTTTGTTATTTTACCAGGTAAGGCCCACTGATCTAAATAGCTCTTTTTCAGAAGCTACCTGGCCACAAATTATATCACAACGAAGTGGCTTATCACGTGTTAATTTAAAGCAGCCAAATACTGTGAACGCGTGACGTTCATTCTAAATGTGGAGGGGAAAACCGGAGGACCCGGAGGTAAATTTACGCGACCACGGGGAGAGAGAGAGACACGGGGAGAGAGAGAGACACGGGGAGAGAGAGAGACACGGGGAGAGAGAGAGACACGGGGAGAGACACGGAGAGAGAGAGACACGGGGAGAGAGACACGGGGAGAGAGAGACACGGGGAGAGAGAGAGACACGGAGAGAGAGAGACACGGGGAGAGAGAGAGAGAGACACGGGGAGAGAGAGACACGGGGAGAGAGAGAGACACGGGGAGAGAGAGAGACACGGGGAGAGAGAGAGACACGGGGAGAGAGAGAGACACGGGGAGAGAGAGAGAGACGGGGAGAGAGAGAGACACGGGGAGAGAGAGACACGGGGAGAGAGAGAGACACGGGGAGAGAGAGAGACACGGGGAGAGAGAGACACGGAGAGAGTAAGACACGGGGAGAGAGAGAGACACGGGGAGAGAGAGAGACAGAGAGAGAGAGAGAAAGACACGGGAGAGAGAGAGAGACACGCAAACTCCAAAATATACAGCGGGCGCCAAGGTCCGAATCGAAACCACGACCAGGCGAGGTAGTTAATGAAATGTGAACTACTAAAGTTATGTAACCTTATGTGTGGTACCGATAAGTGACCAGGCTGGTCTGAACTCAAGGACTACATTGACGGCGGTGCCCATATTCTGAGCCAGTGGTAGAAATTCCACATTCATTTGGCGAGTCTATCCATCAGACAACCACAGCTTGGTTCCTACTTTTTATCAGCCCTCGGATTGACGATGAGCAGTCAACCCCAATCTGCGCGTTCCCGTTGTGAGCCGTGGCTCGCTGTATCGTTGAGTCGCGCTTGTGTCAGCTGCTGGTTGTTGATGACATTACCCCCTTCTGTACGAGGGGGCCCTGCGAGTAGCGGCCGTCTGTCTGTGTGTCTCTGTGTCTGTGTGTGTCTCTGTGTCTGTGTGTGTCTGTGTGTGTCTCTGTGTCTGTCTCTGTGTCTGTGTGTGTCTCTGTGTCTGTGTGTGTCTCTGTGTCTGTGTGTGTCTTTGTGTCTGTGTGTCTCTGTGTCTGTGTGTGTCTGTGTGTGTCTCTGTGTCTGTGTGTGTCTCTGTGTCTGTGTGTGTCTCTGTGTCTGTGTCTCTGTGTGTGTCTGTGTGTGTCTCTGTGTCTGTGTGTGTCTTTGTGTCTGTGTGTCTCTGTGTCTGTGTGTGTCTCTGTGTCTGTGTGTGTCTCTGTGTCTGTGTGTGTCTCTGTGTCTGTGTGTATCTCTGTGTCTGTGTGTGTCTTTGTGTCTGTGTGTCTTTGTGTCTGTGTGTGTCTCTGTGTCTGTGTGTGTCTCTGTGTCTGTGTGTGTCTTTGTGTCTGTGTGTATTTGTGTCTGTGTGTGTCTCTGTGTCTGTGTGTGTCTCTGTGTCTGTCTCTGTGTCTGTGTGTGTCTTTGTGTCTGTGTGTCTGTGTGTCTCTGTGTCTGTGTGTGTCTGTGTGTGTCTCTGTGTCTGTGTGTGTCTCTGTGTCTGTGTGTGTCTCTGTGTCTGTGTGTGTCTCTGTGTCTGTGTGTGTCTTTGTGTCTGTGTGTCTCTGTGTCTGTGTGTGTCTCTGTGTGTCTCTGTGTGTCTCTGTGTCTGTGTGTGTCTTTGTGTCTGTGTGTCTCTGTGTCTGTGTGTGTCTCTGTGTCTGTGTGTGTCTTTGTGTCTGTGTGTCTCTGTGTCTGTGTGTGTCTGTGTGTGTCTGTGTGTCTGTGTGTGTCTCTGTGTCTGTGTGTGTCTCTGTGCCTGTGTGTGTCTCTGTGTCTGTGTGTGTCTCTGTGTCTGTGTGTGTCTCTGTGTCTGTGTGTGTCTCTGTAGCGGTTAGCGCGCTGCGCTGTGAACCCAGCGACCCGGGGTCGATTCCCGCTCACGGCCAACGCCAGTGACGATTATCTGAACCGGTCCTGGGACTCCCCTAGGTCGACTCAGCCTCAAATGAGTATCTGGTACGGTGTGTAAAGATCGCCACTGGAGAGACAAAGGCGGTCGGGCGTGGTGTTGGCCACCCACCCCCTCGTGTGCCGTGCCCGGCCTTCATAGGTGCTGCTACTCGCTAACAGCACTTGCCCCAGCAGTCTGTCGTTGTGTGCGTGAAAGATGAACCCAGATATGCGTGCAGTGCGCCTCAGGGTTGACCTGCTTCCGCTAAAAACTCGCGAAAACAAACCCGCACACAAAGAGAAAGATCCCCCGTGTAGCCTGGGCCAGACTGCTGGGGCAAGGGCTGTGATGAACGCCGCTGGGTTGGGTGGCCAACACCGCTCCCGCGCGCCTTCATCTGACGTTGACACGCCACGCGGCCTCCTAATTTGAGGCCGAGTCGACCTAGGTGGGACTTGTTAAATTATTCGCCTCCACTGTAATAGGGTCGTGAGCTGGAATCGAATTCGGGTAGCGCAGTGCGCCAACTACTGCGCCACCGCTCCCCCCCCCCCAAACACAAATATCACCTGTATAGCCTAAGCACACTTTTAGGGTGAGTGCTGTTAGCGAGCGACCAATGAAGACCCCCTCCACACACACACAGACGCACACACGCGTGTATCCAAAGACAAAGATCCCCCTATAGGCTTAGGCTATTGGGGCAAGTGCTGTATGCGAGCACCTATTAAGGTCGGCACGACACATAAGGGGGTGGGTGGCCAGCACCACGCCGGCCGCCTTTGTCTCCCCAGTTGCGATGTTTACACACCGCACCAGGAACTAATTTGAGACTGAGTCGACCTAGGGGAGACCCAAGACCGGTTAAGATATTCGTCACTGTTGGCCATGAGCGAGAATCGAACTGGGGTGGCCTCAGTGCGCTAACCGTTGCACCACCGCTCCCCATTAGACGCATGTATATACACACGCGCCAGCTTACGCACAGGAAGAGCACTGCATGTGCGTGCATTCATTTCCCCTTCCTCCGTCGCAACAGCAGCAGTAGATGTGGCCATTTGATTATTTCAAAATTGTCCGGACTGACTCACTGCGTCCGCGAGAGACCCGAGTCAGTGCCCGGGTTCCAGCAGCGCGCATTCACGGGAGAGGATTGTAACCGTTAATGGATTTGATCATAGCTCATTGATTACAATTATAACCGTTATTATATACGATTGTAGCCGTAATTCGATGTGATTGTAACTGTGGTTGGAAGTGAGTATAATGCATGTGTGGCTTATTTTAATTGAATTCGCCGCATCCTGAACGCACGTTTATTGTATGTCTGTTGAACTTATTTCGTGCCTTACGTAGCCCACCGTGATAATCGGAGGTGCGGAGGATGGACAACGATCACAGATCGTGGAACGCTCTCTCTCTCTCTCTCCTGATCGCGAATACGCAGGCCACGTGTCTTGTAAGGACACGTGTGTCCCTCTTCGTCTTATCGATCGTTCCAAACAAGGTCGTGGTCGAATAACGGATACACCATTTTCCTCTTTTTTCCCCAACAGAAAGTTGAATTCGCCTCCCGTCACTTCCCTGGATCGCTCGCTCGCTCCATCGATCGCAAGACCGCACAAGACCCCGACGGCCTTGATCTAACCTGGCCACGTGGACTCCTAGCGGCCGGGAACGGGGCACGCAATGCGTGCGGGACTGTGCGTCTCTTCTCTTTTCCTCGCTCTACTGCTAGCCTATTCCATGGGCCTCGCGGTGCTCCTCATGTGGACTCAGGGTGCGTTCTCGCCCTCGCGTCGCTGGGCGAACAAAGACGCGGCGGCTGCGGTGGCCGGCGCCGCGTTCCTGCTCGACCCGTGCGAGTCCGCGAGTCCGCGGCGTTCGAACGCCACGGCCGCGTGGTACCGGACTCAGCAGCTACTCGCCCGGGGGTGGTCGCCCTCTGCGTCATCATCATCATCATCACCACTAGCGGCAGCGGCAGCACCAGCAGGAACAGCTTTACACCCAATGCCACCGCCACTATCACCACGAGCACCGACAGAAGCTGCAGCGCCGCGTGCAGTCCGCCACGTGTACATCCACACCACGTGGAGGTCTGGCTCCTCGTTCGTGGGGGAGCTCCTGAACCAGCACCCGGCCGTCTTCTACATGTTCGAGCCGCTGTGGCACCTGTGGAGGGCCTTCCCAGACCGCGGGGCCCTCGAGCTCCAGCCCAAGGCCGTCGAGTTGCTCCGAGACCTCTTCCAGTGTCGCCTCTCTCGGGCGTTCTCGCCGCTCATCCACGGTCGCGACGACGCGCGACTCCTCTTCGGATGGCAGCGCAACAAGGTGCGGGCAGGTGGCGATGCCGTGGGCCTCTTCTTAGGGAGGTGGGGGGGGGGGCATCACCGTCAGAATGAACCATAAACGATACTTGATACCGAAAGAACCAGAGAGTATAAACTCTACTCTTTGGGTGTTTCGGTAGTCCTGCAGTCACGAAAGCTTCAAGTCAAGAACTATGAACTATTATTAATTTCACCAGCTCAGGCCCACCGAGCGGCGATGTAGCTCTTTTTCAGAAGCGACCTGGCCACCGCGGACGATAGCCTGACGAACGTGGCTTATGGCCACGTGGGCGATGATATCCTGGCCACATCGTCTAAACGCGTGCGGAGTCCACAATGGGTGGCGGAAGCCGAATTGTTTGAGACGGAGCGAACGGAGGGCGGCTGGTGGCTCGCATCTTTGGCGAGACGCGAAGGACGTGTCGCCCCTTGAGCGGGAGGGGAGGAGGCGGTCGGCGGGCTCTGGCGACACGTGGAGAAGTCCCGGAGTTTGGTTCGATACTCATTTGGGGGGTGTTGGCCAAACGACTCGGGACTTGTACGTAGAGGGGGCACGCAGAGATTGGGAAATTGTCGGCACGATGTTGCCGGCTTCCTTGGCGGCTCTTCCGTCATTTTCAGGCTTCCTCTTCACATTTCCCTCTCTCCGTTTTCCTGAGCGTGAACGAAACCCGTAGCTGCGCGCGCGTTACAAATGTTTACGTGAATACGAATTAAATTAAGATAAGGCGTTGTGTATGTTTATTTTGTTCTGCCTCCCCACCATCCAGGTCATGTGCTCGCAAGCGCTCTGCCCCATGCCCACCAGCGGCGGCAGCGGCGGCAGCAGGCACGGGGCTGTGCCCAGGAGCGGCGCCGCGTGCGGGCGCCGCTGTCCCCGCGTGTCGCTGCGCCAGCTGGAGGAGCAGTGCCGCCGCTTCGGCGTCGTGGCCGTCAAAGACGTGCGGCTGCTGGAGCTGCACGCACTGAGGCCGCTGCTGCTGGAGGAGCAGGACGCGGGGGGCGAGGAGGATGGCGGCGTGCTGGACGTGCGCGTGGTGCACCTCCTGCGCGATCCGCGCGCCGTCGCCGCCTCGCGCCAGCGCGTGCGGCGCGCGCTCGCCCGGGACAGCGCGCAGCTGGCGCGCTCCCTGCTGCTCCCGCGGCGCTACAACGCCACCACCAGCACCGTCGTCGTAGCTGCCGCTGCTGCTGCTGGTGGTGGTGCTGGGGTTGGTGCAGGAGCTGCCGGTGCTGCTGATCCATTTGCTGCTGTTGGTGGTGCTGCTGATGATAACTTTGCTGGTGTTGGCGCTGCTGGAGCTGCTGGTGAAGATAATTTCGCTGGTCTTGACGGTGATGTTGCTGCTGCTCGTGCTGCTGCTGGTGGTGGTGGTAACCATCACTATGCGCGCCCTGCACAGCAGCAGCAGAAGGTGCCATACCAGAATCCACCACCACTTTCTCGCGTGGACTTCACGGGGAATCTCATGGAGGTTCTGTGCAGGAGCTCTGCTCAGGGAGTGCAACAGGGAATCCTGGAACCCTGGCTACGGCACAGGTGAGCGAGTGGATGAGTGTATGGGTGGGTGAATGTAAAGGTAGGTTAGTGGGTGGGTGAGTGTATAGGTAAGTTGGTATGTGAATGAGTGTCTGAGTGTTTGGATGGCAGAATGAGTGGCTCACGAGGTGACCGTATGGGTGGGTTGGCTGAGTGACAGCCGGTGGAATCCCACCCGTACCGCGAGCGCCCGGCGTCAGCTCGGCTCGGCTGTGCCAATGGAAAAAAAAATCGGCGTATCGGCATGTGACGCGTCCGTACTGCTGCCCCGTTTGCGCGCCAGGTACCTGCTGCTGCGATACGAAGACTTCCTGACGGACCCTGAGCGCTCCCTCTCCTCCCTCTACACCTTCGCCGGCCTCCCTCCCAGCCCCGACGCCTCGGCGCTGCTCAACGCGCTGGTGGAGGCGCCCTCCCCGAAGGGCGACGGCCCCGAGGTTCGACTCCCGTCCCGGGCGCGGCCCCGTCCCGCGTTCGCCGTGAGCCCGAGGGACGCCAACGTGAGTCTGAGCGGCTGGAGGAGGACGCTAAGCGCCGAGAGGGTGCGCGTCGTCCAGGCGCTGTGTCGTGAGGTCATGAGCGTCGTGGGATACCCGCTCAGCTGTCCGGCGTCCCGGGGCAACTTCCTCTGGATCTGAACAAGGACGACCCGTGGGGTGGGAGCCACCGTCACGCCACACTCCAAACTCCGGACATCCTCGCAGCAGCAGCAGCGGCGGCGGCGGCGGCGTTTGGCTGCCCGTCGAACAAAGACGGCGGTCATCGCATCGTCACCATCATCGTCGCAGTCGTCATCGTCGTCGTCATCATCATCGTCATCATCGTCGCAGTCGTCATCGTCGTCGTCATCATCGTCGCAGTCGTCATCGTCGTCGTCATCATCATCGTCATCATCGTCGTCATCGTCATCATCATCGTCATCAGCATCGTCGTCATCATCATCGTCATCATCGTCGCAGTCGTCATAGTCGTCGTCATCATCATCGTCGTCATCACCATCGTCATCATCGTCGCACGGCGCTTTCTCAGCTGCGCCGCTTCTGCGGCAGCTTCTGGGACGCTCTTCCCTTCCGATGTTAGGAAGCCACTGGGAGCTCCGATGCACTTCGTCTAGATTGAACACGATCGAGTTCGGACCGCCACAGGCGACGGACGCTCTGGGATCATGCCACGTCTCGTTTGTGCGTGCGCTACGATCCTGGCGACGATTATTTGAACCGGTGCTGGGCCTCCGTCTAGGTCGACTCAGCATCAAACGAGTGCCCCCTCATGTGCCGTTCCGGCCTTCACAGGCACTCTCTGTCAGCACTTGCCCCAACAGCCTCTTTGGGCTACACGGTGGGATCTTTGTCTTTGTGATGGCAAGCCTCCTCTTCTGTAAAGAAACTTGCGCCCGTTGTTTTAGAGCTGTCACGTCCGGAGATCGACGCGTATTCATCCAATAGAAGACAACGCGGAATTACGCAGCATCTACGTGCCCTGTAGATCGCAGTGCGCCTCGAGACGCTGAGCAGAAACAGAGTGCGGCCTTCATAATAAGAAACAAGACGGCGTATACACTTCGTCAATGTGGATATACAACTTACAGCCAGTCCACTGCTGGATGAACACCACCACCCCCCAGGCTGTAATTACGATGGAGGGGGGGGGGTGATTTGGCCATACTTCGCCACGCTGGTCACTCAGCAGTGTCTGTTGGTGAGGGGAGAGGATGGGGTTGCCATGACCACTTCCACGTATCGCTGGCCACTGATGTTAGCCGTGGCCGGGAATTGTGACGCAGATCGCCCGGGTTGGTCGTCCAGTGCGCTAATCACTGCGCCACCGCTCCAGATGTCTTGTGACCCCCCTCCCCCCCCAATTAATTGACCTCTAACATTTTTTCCTTTGCATGTACATTTATGTTTTAAATAAACATTGATTACAAAAATATATTAAGTTTTAGAGATTTCAATGGGGGGGGGGGGGGGGGGGTCACGAGACATATGGACCGCCCTGTACTGCTTCACGACAGTTGCTATAGGATCGCAGAGCTGCGGCAATTGTTGTTGTTACCGTTTGATCGTGCCAGTCCCTGACCGTGAAGCGCCTCGTCTGTTTAGAAAGTGGAAAACACAACAACTGTTAAAGCTGGTGATTTGTAAATGTATAATTAATTGAGCCGTGCGTATTTTGTGCAACGTGAGGTTGTAATTACTCGACTGATAATGTTTCTACTTGCAGCATTTACGTCAATGTTTTTCGTACTAAACTTGACGCGTTACCTTCACGGGGCTCCCGTCGACTTGCGTACGAGGCGATGTAAAATTCGTGCGAGTACAGAGGTGGCTGGGTGGCTCCCGAGCCAGGGACTGCGAGTCGACACCACCGAGGATCCTCTTGCCTTTGAATTTGAATTTGGGGGGAGGGGGGCGGTGGGTGGGGGGGGGGGCGGTGGGTGGGGGGGGTACAGCCCCCTCTGATCAAACCGGGTCCTCAAGCAAAATGGCATCGAATCTTCTCGGTCCGGTCAGCAATAATTATTTATAATCGCACACACACACACATACACACACACCCACACAAATACACAACAACAACCGCCATTCGCCACTAAGTGGCGGTGACGTCACTACGACGCTTGTGCCAGGCCATGTGCACCTTGAGACCACGTGAAGTGTCGAACGCCCGCTGGCAGGAGGTCACGGGGCAGACCCAGGTGCCACGGGTCGACTGACTGAGATGACTGGCTGGTGCACCACCTGTGCCCCCTACTGTGCCAACCTGCTGTGCTTTAGCCACGCGGCGCTCCGCTCGTTGTTGTGAGCGTCGCTCCTCCGCCCTCCGTTGTTGTTGGAGGGCGACTGCCTCCAACTGCTCAGTAGCGTCCTTCACGAGCCTCCTCCACAGAGGCCAATCTTGACACCGCTGGTACCAGTCATCGGCAAATCCACTCAGCTCCACGTCCTCCTGTACCACATCACTCCATCTCTTCTCTAGCCCGTGCCGCGTCCGTTTAGCCCCCTCTGTCTGGCCGAACAAAAGCTGTTTCGGCATGCGGTGGATGGGCATGCGGGCTACATGACCCAGCCAACGCAGCCTTGCCTGCCGGAGGAGCTCACCGATGGGACCTTGCCCAGATCTTTCAAAGATTTGTGAGCTCCTCACACAATCCAGCCTGGTTAAACCCAGGATGGATCGTAGGCAGGCTAGCCTAAATATTTCTAACCGGCGAAGATGTTCCATTAGGGGGGTCCACGTTTCGCAAGCGTAGAGAAGGGAGGGAATGACCGTGGCCGAGAAGACCTGAAGCTTAGTGCGGAGCGACAGACCAAGTAGCTTCCACACAGCGTTACGCAACCGATGAAAAGATATTGCCGCTCGACTGATTCGGAGTGAGACCTCTGCTGTTAAACTGGAGCCGGTCATACGCACACTGCCCAGGTATGGGAAACTCTCCACTCTCTCCACAACTGCCCTATCACCGATTGGGAGTTGTGGGGGTGGAGTGTCCGATGGTACAAAATACCCAGGCAGGTGCACAAGCGTCGTAGTAACGTCACCGCCACTTAGTGGCGAATGGCGGTTGTTGTGTGACCCGCTGCTCTGCCACAATTCCAGACGGGTCCCTTGGTCTCAAGGCGCGACGCCACGGCCACGTTTTGGAAGACGACGGTTGTTGTTGTTGTGTGACCCGCTGCTCTGCCACAATTCCAGACGGGTCCCTTGGTCTCAAGGCGCGACGCCACGGCCACGTTTTGGAAGACGACGGAGAAACCCCCGGGGATTGCCCGTCGGGATTAAACATCGACGCAGGAAGGACGCAGACGGAACAAAACAAACCAACAACAACAAAGGAGGACTTTCTCCAAAATGGAAACACGATGTTTATTTAAATCTTAGATTGCCCGTAGAGCATATGTCGGGTCGCTGGGGAACACACATGCATTTAAACATGCACACCACCACCACCACCATCATCACCACGAAACCAAAGATAAAAGATCCAACCCACCCAGGATAGCCTCTGAAAGGCTGTAGGGGAAGGGGGTGTTTGCGAGCACCTGCGAAGGTGGATACAGCACGCGAGAGGGGCGGTGTGGTCAACACCACGCCCGGCCGCCTTTATCTCCCCAGTGTTGAAGTTTATACACCGCACCAAAATACTCATTTAAGGTTGAGTCGACCTAGGAGCCATGTTGGCCATGCGCGGAAATCGAACTTGGGTCACCGGGTTCGTAGCGCAGTGCGCTAGCCACTACGACACCTCTCCACTATGCTGTTACACTGACACACACGTGCACACACACTGACAAAGACAACGATCGCCGTATAGCCTTAAACAGACTTTTGGGCTAAGTGCTGTTAGCGAGCACCTATGAAGGTCGACACAGCACACGAGGGGGGGGGGGGGGGAGGATGCAGCACCGCACACGGCCGCATTTGTCTCCCCAGTGGCGATGGGTACATATTTGAGGCTGAGACGACCTCGGGGAGGGGGGCCCAGGACCAGCTCAGGTAATCTTGACTGGTGTTGGCCGTGACAGGGAATCGAACTCATCCGGCTCCTAGTGCGGCGCGCTAACCGCTACACTACCGCTCCACATACACACACAGGACTCACACACACACAGGACTCACACACACAGGACTCACACACACACAGGACTCACACACACAGGACTCACACACACACAGGACTCACACACACAGGACTCACACACACACACACAGGACTCACACGCACAGGACTCACACACACACACAGGACTCACACACACACACAGGACTCACACACACACAGGACTCACACACACACACAGGACTCACACACACACACAGGACTCACACACACACACACACAGGACTCACACACACACACACACAGGACTCACACACACACAGGACTCACACACACAGGACTCACACACACAGGACTCACACACATGACTCACACACACACAGGACTCACACACACACACAGGACTCACGCACACAGGACTCACACACACAGGACTCACACACACACACAGGACTCACACACACACAGGACTCACACTCACAAGACTCACACACACACAGGACTCACACACACAGGACTCACACACACACAGGACTCACACACACAGGACTCACACACACAGGACTCACACACACACAGGACTCACACACACACAGGACTCACACACACAGGACTCACACACACAGGACTCACACACACAGGACTCACACACACACAGGACTCACACACACAGGACTCACACACACACACAGGACTCACACACACAGGACTCACACACACACAGGACTCACACACACACAGGACTCACACACACACAGGACTCACACACACAGGACTCACACACACACAGGACTCACACACACACAGGACTCACACACACAGGACTCACACACACACATGACTCACACACACAGGACTCACACACACACACAGGACTCACACACACAGGACTCACACACACACACACAGGACTCACACACACACACAGGACTCACACACACACAGGACTCACACACACAGGACTCACACACACACAGGACTCACACACACAGGACTCACACACACACAGGACTCACACACACACACACAGGACTCACACATACACACACAGGACTCACACACACAGGACTCACACACACAATGCATGTCTATAGCAGAGGCAAACAGGCCAAACATATTTGCGGATTAACCAATAATATTTCACCTGCAGCAGCAGTACTCCGTTAAATCAATTACCTTCACATTCCACTTCTGTGCCTGGTCAGTACAACAATTAGGGTATCAAAGACTTCCCGTGACATCCGTGCGGCAATTAGGGTTATACGTATATATACTTTGATATTATTATTTACAACATTTATTTTTTTTCAAAAAATGTAAATGTTAAAAAATTATAAATTTCTGCCTGGCCCTGTTGCAGGAGGGGAAGATCCCTACGTTCAAGTGTGGCGAGTCTTGTAGTTACGATCGGCTCGAAGTTCATCTCCTGAATACATCTCTGGGGCTCGGAGAGACAACTTCGAGTCGAGGGTTAGGCAGATGCAGGGAATCAACTAAAAAATTAAACGGAATCCGATGCAATGGGTAACCCTGGTGCTGCGTGGTATGATGTGAGCGAGCCACCCGCTGGCGCTCCGTACCCTGCATTTGTAAACAGTTCCGAACCACCGCCTCCGTCGCTTGTCTATCGCTTCAGAAGACTGTCGCAAGGCCCAATCTTGTTCATTTAAGGATAAGGGTGAGTCCGAGCACCTACATGCCCCGGCATCTCGGAGCACCTTACAACGCACCTCAATCGTTCCGTTGCCCAGCTGCACTTTTAATTTTAGCCTAGGGGACCCCCCGAATGGCAGCTGTCTGTGTGCACCACAAGATGTATGCAACAAGAAAGTGGGCATTAGTCTGCCAGCAGGAGGCTGTGATGTTATTGGTGATTCCAGTTCAGTCATTTGTGAGTAGTTGTGTAAATTCGGACAATGCCGCCAGTGCACGTGGGTGGCCTACAGCGTTTGTAATAACAACCATGGGGTCTATAACGGCCACTGTGATGCAGAGGGCACGTATTTAGAGGCTAATACGCCTGGCAGTATTCACCGGGGCAGCCAGGGGAACTTGAACCATAAACCTCTCAAACAAACGGCAAAGGTGATATACCACATGTCCACACCACCTACCGCCCACGCTATCACCCGGCCATGCTATCACCCGGCCACACCACCTACCGCCCACGCTATCACCTGGCCATGCTATTACCTGGCCACACCACCTACCGCCCACGCTATCACCCGCCCACACCACCTACCACCCACGCTATCACCCGCCCACACCACCTACCACCCACGCTATCACCCAGCCATGCTATCACCCGGCCACACCACCTACCAACCACGCTATCACTCGGCCATGCTATCACCCGCCCACACCACCTACCACCCACGCTATCACCCGGCCATGCTATAACCCGGCCACACCACCTACCGACCACATTATCACCCGGCCATGCTATCACCCGCCCACCCACCTACCACCCATGCTATCACCCGGCCATGCTATCACCCGGCCATGCCACCACCTGGCCACGTCACCCCTCAAGCACACCACCATTCGGCCATGCCACCGCTCATCCACACCACCACTCGGCCACACCACCCTGCGGCCACACCACCACCCGGCCATGCCACTGCCCCTCCTCGTAGTTCCGTTCAGAGCGGCGTGGTTGACTTGCATCCCCTTTGTAGTGACAATGTTCCCGTGGCGGCTGGGTGAAAGGTGGCTGGGGCTTATAAAGACAGAAAACATAAGGGATGCATAGCAGACCCCCCCCACTCGCCGCCAGGTCAGCCCCCACGTTGATGTGGAAGCACATTTGTAAGTAATGTACGTACGTTGACATTCCGTACGTAGCCAACCATGCTAATCGGAGGTTCGGGGGAAGGACAACAGACTAAACAAAAGAAGAAGTTCTAAATAAATTCGTTTTCGAAGACAGAAATTCGATTTTCAAGACAGCCCCCACCCATGGCGAGTCGGCGCGTTCGCTCGAATCCGTCGCGAGGATTTGGACGCGTGCGGAGGCCCCGTCGCCCCGCCAAGTTTTTTTATACGACGACGGCAGCGACGACGGCAGAAGAGGGACAGAAATATTTGTACGCAACGGCACGGGGCCCCCGTGCTCCCAACGCGCGCGCCCCGCACAACGCGGCGCAAGTGCAAATCGTCGTGGAGGGGAAACGGAGTCGTCACCGAGCTGACGGCTCGGTGACGACTCCGTTGCGCTCGCATGTTCCGTGCGTGGTCGCGCGCATTCCTGGGCTCGCTAAAAACACAGCGCGCCACTCGGCACTGCGCCTTTCGAGCGCTCGCACCTGTGCTGAGCTTTCTGCGGGACCATCATCATCATCGTCGCCATCATCAGACGTGGTCAATCTACCGCTGGATGAAGGATCTCGCCAAGCCACCGCCACCACTGGCTGCGATGCAGGCGTTAACACAGCAACGAGACGATCCGCTTTGTGGCCTTGCCCGGTGGCTTGAACCTCGCTCGGGATCATGAGCACTGACTGACGTGGCCAATTTCTGTCGTAAATTTAGTGACCGGTTTGGCAGCAGCGTTGAAAGGCGTGAGTTTGACATCTGCAGCGGGAACATAACAAACAGGCCGATGATAAATAACGTCGTAACTTTTGTTGTTGTCCAAAAGACCCACAAGACACCGCGATGGGCGGACGATGCAGACGTCTTGCTCGAAGTTGCCTGCTGCGAGAAAACTGAATTCCGCACCAACGCTCGCCTGCTGCCAACGCTGACGCGGATTTTTATTGCTCAGCTCGCGAGAGCGCCTCCCGGACAAACGCAGCCACGAGCCCGTCAGCGTCGCGCGGCGACGCCGCAGTCGCTAAACAGTTCCGGCGCGCCGGTCACTGCAATGTCGATTTTCGTTTTCTAACGTCCCTTTTGCCGAATCGCGTTTACTGGACACAAACTGAAATGGAAGGAAAATCGTCTCGGCCGCACGGCTGGCTTCAACGAGAACAGCCATGAAGGTGCCGATGGGACAAACCGGCTAGACGCGAGCGACTGCGAGGACATACACGGGGCGATCGTTTTATTTGTTTGTTACAAGAGGAATTAAAAAAAAATGAAAATCTAAGCACGTTTTCGAATCCTCGATTTTGGTCACGGCTACGGGCACCGCTACCGCCTGCTCCTGTAAATGAACGAAGTGACGTCAACGTGTGCGCAAAACGAGGAAAGCGGAGGGGTGAGACGGGGCGGCAGCTGCGATGGAGGCAGCTTCGCCTGCGTCGCAGTCCATCAGTGTTCCGTGGCCCCTGGGGGCCCTTCTCTCTACGTGGGCACACTGCCAGTGTTGACCCCTGATCCCGTCTGGGCGGAGCCAAAGTCCGTGGGGGCGGAGCTGAACTCCACGGGGACGGAGCCACCTCCGTAAGGGGCGGGGCCACCGCCGTAGGGGGCGTGGCCGCTGTTGTAGGGGGCGGTGACGTGAGTGGGGCGGAGCTCCTGGGCGCCCGGCCCCCAGGGGCCCCCGAAGGCGCCGCGCTCTGATTGGCCATCGCTGCCGTCGGGGCGGGGCTTGGCGTGCCGGTGGGCGTGGCTGGAGTCGACTCCGCCCCCGATGTTGAATGACAGCTCCGTCTCTGGGATGACGACATCTTCGTCGCGAAGTCGTCCCTCGTTCTGAAGGTCAAACGGAGGGGTCATCGGTGGTGTTGGTGGTGGTGGTGATAACGAGGACATCACATGAGCCACCCTCCTCCACCCCAGCGCGGCGAGTCACAGAGCTGTCACGGCTCGGTGTGTCTCGTTTAACGGCGTCCACTCGTTCACATTGGGCCAACTCCATAATGCAGGTTATTTTTATTGGGTCAGATCGCGCAATTATAACTGCGTGTCGTTAAACCCGCCACCACTCGACACAGCCAATTAGTACAAAGGTCGAATCAGTGTATTGACCACAGACGGATGATGGCGGGGACTGTATTGACCCTTGGACTCTTTGACCAGTCTTCCTTTTTTTGCTAAATTTCAGGGCTGGATACGGAAGCAAAAATTGCCAATTTACGTGAGCAAGAGTGCCTGATTAAGCCAGCACCTCACCCGATTGCCTTTGCCTCCCCAGTATTGCTGTTCGTATCCTCAATGCTGTCGCTCTACACACCGCAGCAGGTACTTATTTAAGGCTGAATCGACCTAGAGGAGGCCCAGGACCGGTTCAGATATTTGTCACTGATGTTGGCGATGAGCGGGAATCAAACGCGGGCCGCTGGGTCGGTAGCGCAGCGTGCCAAACCACAGCGGCGCCGCTCCAAACACGCGCAGCAACGCGCACATTCACACTCGCAGTCGCTCACCTGCATGGCCTGTGGGCTGGTGAGGAGGCGGGCGAGGGGTGCGCAGCAGCCGGGCAGGGTGGCGGTGAGCGGGGGCCCCGCGTGCGTGAGCAGCGGCTTCAGGTAGCTGAGCGGGCGCGAGCTCGTTAAGGGAGGAACGACGGGTGAGCAAGCGATCGAGCGAGCGAGCGATCGGGCGAGCGATCGAGCAATCGAGCCTTCGATCGATTAAGCGAGCGTGCGATCGAGCGAGCGATCGAGCGATCGATTGAGCGATCGAGCCTTCGAGCGATTGAGCGATCGCGCGATCGAGCGATCGATCAAGCGGTGGCACGAGCTGGGAGACTATGGGGAGCCATGGGCCATCACTGGCGCCGTCCACCCTCACCCAGAATCACAATATTTATTTATACTGGAGGAATCTGATCAGCTGCAAAGCTCTTTTTCGCAGGTGTTCAGTAAAGCCTCGCTGAGTCTCGACACTTTTTTTTTTTCATGAGGAGGGATCCTGCCGAGTTTTTGTTGCAGGAGGCGGGACGACGTTGCTGCATTCCAATCTGAGTCATGTGTATGTATGTTGAATTTCTTTGGCACCATACGTAGCTAACCGTGCTAATCAGAGGTGCAGGGAAGGGCAAAAAAACTAAACACAAAAAAGTCAGTTCGAAAGAAATGAGTTTTCAAGCGAATTTTCAGGTAATCTTTCAGCATTGCGATGTTGTTTGGCCAGTATCCGTTGCATTAGATGTTTTCATTATTATTATTATTTTTTAGCTATGGGAGGAAGCCGGAATACCTCAGAGGAAACCCATACAGAACAGGGAAAGGGGACACACAAACTCCAAGCAGATATTGCTCCCAAGTCGGGAATCGAACCCAGGCTCTTCTTGCTGTGGTGCTCGAGTGTCATCACCCTGCCGCCACCCTGCCTGTCGCCCTGCCGCCCCCCCTGAGAGAAAACGCACATTGCCTCCCATCCCCTTCCCCCACCCCCCATTCACTGCCCCCTCCCCTGCCTCCAACCCACCGCCCCCCACCGTGAACGCCGTGCGGTGCAGGAGGATACTTGTGATCGACGTTGTACCACGCGCGGAAGAGCCAGGCGCTGTCCTCCTTGGTGGAGCGACCCCCGAGGCCTTGGGATGAGTCCTGCGCGATGCAGCAGGGTGGCACAGGGGACAATCGCAACGACTGGGGAGAGCGAGTGGTGGGGTGGGAGCAGTGGGGTGGGAGTGTTGGGGTGGGAGTGGTGGGGTGAGAGTGGTGGGGTGGGAGTGGTGGAGTGGGAGTGGTGGGGTGGGAGTGGTGGGGTGAGAGTGTTGGAGTGGGAGTGGTGGAGTGGGAGTGGTGGGGTGGGAGTGTTGGGGTGGGAGTGGTGGGGTGGGAGTGTTGGGGTGGGAGTGGTGGGGTGAGAGTGTTGGAGTGGTGGAGTGGGAGTGGTGGGGTTGGAGTGTTGGGGTGGGAGTGGTGGGGTGAGAGTGGTGGGGTGGGAGTGGTGGGGTGCGTGAGTGATGGGGTGAGAGTGGTGGAGTGGTTGAGTGATGGGGTGGGAGTGGTGGGGTGGGAGTGGTGGGATGAGAGTGGTGCGGTGGGAGTGGTGATGTGGGAGTGGTGGGCTGGGATTGGTGGGGGTGTGAGTGGTGGGGTGGGAGTGGAGGGGTGGGTGAGTGCTAGGTTGAGTGAGTGGTGGGGTGGGAATGGTGAGGTGGGAGTGATGGGGTGGGAGTGTTGGGGTGGGAGTGGTGGGGCGTGAGTGGTGGGGTGAGTCAGTGGTGGCATGTGTGAGTGTTGGGGTGGGAGTGGTGGGGTGGGAGTGGTGGGGTGGAGTGGTGGGGCGTGAGTGGTGGGGTGTGAGTGGTGGAGTGAGTCAGTGGTGTGGTACGTGAGTGGTGGGGTGTGAGTGGTGGGGTGTGAGTGGTGGGGCGTGAGTGGTGGGGTGGGAGTGGTGGGGTGCGTGAGTGGTGGGGTGAGTCAGTGGTGTGGTACGTGAGTGGTGGGGTGTGAGTGGTGGGGTGTGAGTGGTGGGGTGTCAGTGGTGGGGTGTGAGTGGTGGGGCGTGAGTGGTGGGGTGCGAGTGGTGGGGTGTGAGTGATGGGGTGTGAGTGGTGGGGTGTGAGTGATGGGGTGTGAGTGATGGGGTGTGAGTGGTGGGGTGGGAGTGTTGGGGTGCATGAGTGGTGGGGTGCGTGAGTGATGGGGTGAGAGTGGTGGAGTGGTTGAGTGATGGGGTGGGAGTTGTGGGGTGGGAGTGGTGGGATGAGAGTGGTGCGGAGGGAGTGGTGATGTGGGAGTGGTGGGCTGGGATTGGTGGGGGTGTGAGTGGTGGGGTGGGAGTGGAGGGGTGGGTGAGTGCTAGGTTGAGTGAGTGGTGGGGTGGGAATGGTGAGGTGGGAGTGATGGGGTGGGAGTGTTGGGGTGGGAGTGGTGGGGCGTGAGTGGTGGGGTGAGTCAGTGGTGGCATGTGTGAGTGTTGGGGTGGGAGTGGTGGGGGTGTGAGTGGTGGGGTGGGAGTGGAGGGGTGGGTGAGTGCTAGGTTGAGTGAGTGGTGGGGTGGGAATGGTGAGGTGGGAGTGATGGGGTGGGAGGGGTGGGGTGGGAGTGGTGGGGCGTGAGTGGGGGGGTGAGTCAGTGGTGGCATGTGTGAGGGTTGGGGTGGGAGTGGTGGGGTGGGAGTGGTGGGGTGGGAGTGGTGGGGCGTGAGTGGTGGGGTGTGAGTGGTGGAGTGAGTCAGTGGTGTGGTACGTGAGTGGTGGGGTGTGAGTGGTGGGGTGTGAGTGGTGGGGTGTGAGTGGTGGGGTGGGAGTGGTGGGGTGTGAGTGGTGGGGTGAGTCAGTGGTGTGGTACGTGAGTGGTGGGGTGTGAGTGGTGGGGTGTGAGTGGTGGGGTGTCAGTGGTGGGGTGTGAGTGGTGGGGCGTGAGTGGTGGGGTGCGAGTGGTGGGGTGTGAGTGATGGGGTGTGAGTGGTGGGGTGTGAGTGATGGGGTGTGAGTGATGGGGTGTGAGTGGTGGGGTGGGAGTGTTGGGGTGCATGAGTGGTGGGGTGCGTGAGTGATGGGGTGAGAGTGGTGGAGTGGTTGAGTGATGGGGTGGGAGTTGTGGGGTGGGAGTGGTGGGATGAGAGTGGTGCGGAGGGAGTGGTGATGTGGGAGTGGTGGGCTGGGATTGGTGGGGGTGTGAGTGGTGGGGTGGGAGTGGAGGGGTGGGTGAGTGCTCGGTTGAGTGAGTGGTGGGGTGGGAATGGTGAGGTGGGAGTGATGGGGTGGGAGTGTTGGGGTGGGAGTGGTGGGGCGGGAGTGGTGGGGTGAGTCAGTGGTGGCATGTGTGAGTGTTGGGGTGGGAGTGGTGGGGTGGGAGTGGTGGGGTGGGAGTGGTGGGGCGTGAGTGGTGGGGTGTGAGTGGTGGAGTGAGTCAGTGGTGTGGTACGTGAGTGGTGGGGTGTGAGTGGTGGGGTGTGAGTGGTGGGGCGTGAGTGGTGGGGTGTGAGTGGTGGGGTGCGTGAGTGGTGGGGTGTGTCTGTGGTGTGGTACGTGAGTGGTGGGGTGTGAGTGGTGGGGTGTGAGTGGTGGGGTGTCAGTGGTGGGGTGTGAGTGGTGGGGCGTGAGTGGTGGGGTGCGAGTGGTGGGGTGTGAGTGATGGGGTGTGAGTGGTGGGGTGTGAGTGATGGGGTGTGAGTGATGGGGTGTGAGTGGTGGGGTGGGAGTGTTGGGGTGCATGAGTGGTGGGGTGTGAGTGGTGGGGCGTGAGTGGTTGGGCGTGAGTGGCGGGGTGTGAGTGGCGGGGTGTGAGTGGTGGGGCGTGAGTGGTGGGGTATGAGTGGTGGGGTGTGAGTAGTGGGGTGTAAGTGGTGGGGCGTGAGTGGTGAGGCGTGAGTGGTGGGGTGTGAGTGATGGGGTGTGAGTGGTGGGGTGTGAGTGGTGGGGTGTGAGTGGTGGGGCGTGAGTGGTGGGGCGCGAGTGGTGGGGTGCGAGTGATGAGGTCCACACTCACTCTGCGTGAAGGTTCTGTGAAGGAGTCGTCGTCCGGGTCTACGCCCACACTGCAGTAAGGACACAGACAGAGACGCAAACAGAGAGACACAGACAGGGAGAGAGAGACACAGACTTTATCTCCGCTAAAATTGCAGACCGCAAGTTCCTGATGAACTGTAGAGAGAGAGAGAAAATGACTCAGAGGCGCCAGGAGGAGGTACCACAGACAAGCGGGAAGACAGCAGCCACCAGGCGGTGAGCCGGAGCTACCAACAACTGCCCAAGCTCTGCGGTCCTCTAAATATGATGGTTGTTCTCGGCCAATGAATGAGTGTTTACATGTGGGAGGAAACCGGAGTGCCCGGAGAAAACCCCACGCGTGCGAGGGTGAAACACGCTATCCCCATGCAGAGGGAGCAGGCGGAGTCCACATTTTCCACTGGACGGGTACGGGGGCACCTCCTCGGCGTCCACGGGAAAGGAGTTCCACAACATCTGCGAGCGACAATCCACCAACCACTCGCTGCCCTGCACACGGAGCCGGATTACAGGCCATGTGCGTAGCCACTACCACGCGGCTAAAATTATCACGTCCCCTGCGAAAAACCGACGTGTGTGTGTGTGTAACATTGAACTTCTTTCGCACTCTACGTAGCTGACCAACCGCGCTGATCGGAGGCGCGGGGCGTATGAATGTGGAGGGTTTTGCTCGCCGCTCTGCTTCGTCACAAATATCCCGTGCTCAAAATAGTTTTGGGTGCGTGCCCCGCCACCTCCCCGCCCCCGCCGCGCGTGCGGGAGAGAGGGATTTGTTTTCCTTGGGCACTGTGACTGCCGCGAGCTCGCAGGTGGTGACCGTGGGCACGCCGAGGAGATTTATCTGGCTTCCGCACGAGGCTCCCCGCAGCCGTATCTCTCTCGTCCCCGGTGGAAATTTCCTGCCAACGGGCATGCGAGCCGTACCGAAAGGAACAAATGAGCAACTTCAGCCCTGGTGTATTTCGTCGTCGTCGTCGTCATCGTTAATCGGCGTCAATCATTATGTATCCACTGCTGGACTTGCTGGTGCGACAGTAGAGGTCTTGAGTGCTGCACACGAGGTGACGTCCTCGATGGACGTCCTCTCGGGCGCGTTCTCACTCCTTTGGCTGCCATTCCATCATCAGTCTCGACCACCGGCCACCGGCCCTCCTAGCCGTGATGCGTCCTGCCCAGTTTGCTTTCCCTAGCAGTCAATGCTTGCATACGTTCCCGAATCCGCGCGCTCCGCTTCTAGTTTTTCTCTGGTCTCGTCGAGAAACATAAACTGTCACGTGAACTCCGGTCATCCTCGCAGCAGCGGCTGTTGACAAAGACGGTGGTCACCGCACCGCACGGTGCTTTCAGAAGCGCTTCTGCGGCCGTCTGGAACGCTCTTCCTTCCGATATTAGGAAGCCACTGGAGCTATCTACTTTTAAATCATCTAGATTGAAAATTAATTTCTTAGGAACTGCTTCGTGCTTAGCTTGTTGGTTGGATACGTACGGTGCAAAGGAAGTTCAGCATACATACACTTAAGGCAGTTGCTGCTGCTGCTGCTGCTACAGCTGATGATGATACTATCACTGGAAAGTTTTTGCATCAACTAAAAATGTACACCGTTTTCGTCGCCAATATCAAGATTAGCAATTTTTTTTTACTTCGGTTGGGCCTCCGTGCCACGATCTGGCCACATTTAACGACCGTAACCGTGAGCGCGGTGACAAGGGTGGCGGCTCGGCGAGCCCTCCCTCACCGTATGTTGAGCCACGCGAGCATCTGAGTGGTGCCTCCCCCGAAGAACCACACGGTGAAGAAGACGATGAAGAGCGTGGTGGTGAGCATGGTCTGCTGGGCGGGCAGCGACGTGTTCCTGATGGCCAGAGCGAACGCGATGGCCCCACGCAGGCCTGAGGGTGGCACGAGGACGACGACAAGAGCAACGTAAACAACAACAACAAGAGCAACGTAAACAACAACAACAAGAGCAACGTAAACGACAACAACAAGAGCAACGTAAACAACAACAACAAGAGCAACGTAAACAACAACAAGAGCAACGTAAACAACAACAACAAGAGCAACGTAAACAACAACAACAAGAGCAACGTAAACAACAACAACAAGAGCAACGTAAACAACAACAACAAGAGCAACGTAAACAACAACAACAAGAGCAACGTAAACAACAACAACAAGAGCAACGTAAACAACGACAACAAGAGCAACGTAAACAACAACAACAAGAGCAACGTAAACAACAACAAGAGCAACGTAAACAACAACAACAAGAGCAACGTAAACGACAACAACAAGAGCAACGTAAACGACAACAACAAGAGCAACGTAAACAACAACAACAAGAGCAACGTAAACGACAACAACAAGAGCAACGTAAACAACAACAACAAGAGCAACGTAAACAACAACAACAAGAGCAACGTAAACAACAACAACAAGAGCAACGTAAACGACAACAACAAGAGCAACGTAAACAACAACAACAAGAGCAACGTAAACAACAACAACAAGAGCAACGTAAACAACAACAACAAGAGCAACGTAAACAACGACGACGAGGCAAACAACGGCGAGGGCGGTAACACGGAGGCGTGCGGTGCACCCCCGCGGACGTGCGTTGTTGGGGTTGCACCGCGTGTTGTTTGCACGTACATGTATGTTGCACGTATGTATTTGGAACTGCTTTTGACCCGTACGTGGCCAACCGCGCTAATCGGAGGTTCGGCATCTTGGCCTACCCCCCGCCACCCCCCCCCCCCACCCGCCCGGTTCTCCCCGCCGACTGTAAAAAACTCCGGTAGGACCCTCCTGAAAAAACGAGTCCTGAGGCTCGGCGATCACTTTCCTGGGTGGACGAGCGCGACCCTCCCACTCAGGCCGTGCCACCGCACGCACCCGGCCCACCCTCCCCCCCGTCCCCCGTGAACGACGGAGCACAAAGCCAAGCCCCGCAACACCTGAGAACATCATCATGTGCTGCAGATTCCAGCCGATGCGGTGGCGACGGCCGAGGTTCAGCAGGAAGGAGAGCGGGTAGATGTTGCACGCTCGGCCGATGAAGATGCCCAGCTGTAGGGGGGCAAGAGGGAAGGGGGGAGGAGGGAGGGAGGGAGGGAGGGGAGGGATCGGTGTGGTCGAGTACGAAGAGGAGAGTGCCCTGGGTCAAGGATAAAAACTTTGCGATCACATTCATGATCATCGATTTCATCAGCGCCCATTCCAGACCGGGGAGGGGTGGTCGTTGGCGGGGGGGGGGGGGTGACACTGCCCAGCGCTTTTCGCCGCTTGTCGCAGAGGTTCGCGGTTAGAATCCGGCGGGCCGCCCTGGTTAATACTGCAGTTTGCGAGAACGAGATCATTAGCTCTACGCTGTCTGCTTCACTTATATTGGAAATGAGTGCCTGCGTGATGGGTTAAGCTTGCCAAAATAAAAGGAAATTACACTGTAAATGAGTCAATTGGAGTTTACATGGCAATCATCACCCCCTGCTGGCAGACAATTTTCACGGTCATCAACAGAATTGCAATTTAGACAGAATCAAACCGTCTTTGTAACGCAATCATTGCTGACCAGGCTGAGATCATCAACTCATTACACCTGACCACCTGGTTTAATGACTTTGGATGGGTGGCGGAAACGCGGATTTCAAACCCCCTCGGATGCCAGTGGCTCCGTGCTTCTGACCCCTGAGCGCCCTGGTCACCTGTGCCACGAACGCCTTCAAACTAAACCGGAAGTGGAGCATCTGACACGGTGACGTTGAAGCAGGGAAGCCCCCCCCCCCCACCAAAGCAGGGGAACGAGGCGGTCGCCCCGATTCACCGTGCGACCCTACGGGACGGGAGGGGGGGCCTCTGGCTACACGGCAGGAAGGAAAACAAAATAAAAACAACGGAGCGGTGCTTGGCGGAGGATACGAAGGCGCCGGCGATGAAGATCGGATTGAAGACGTGGTGCTGGTACGTGAACATCGCCAGTCCCATGTACGAGAAGATGAAGCTCTCCGCCAAGAAGTTGAGCAACTCGAAGAACTGCACATGCCGGGGGAGGGGAAGGAGAAACGACACGCGAGCTGGGCCCTGTGCAGCGCGGAGCCTCGCCTCCCGACCCTTGCACCTGCACCTTCACGCTCCATTGCTCGAGACTCCTCACCCACGCCCGTCGTCACGTCGCCCCCCAACGCTCCGATCCCTCCACCGGCTCCCAATGCAATCCTCACCCCCTCCATCCCCCCCCCACACCCCCCCCCGGATCGATTTCAAGATCGCACTCACGGTCTTCAATACCCTTCGTGGACTCGCCCTGCCCACCTCTCCCCTCTCATCTCGTTTGCCGCGATGCCCCCTCTCCCCCATGCCCCCCTCTCCCCCAGTGTCCCCGTGCCGCACCTGCTTGGTCCTGAGCCGCGACTCTTCCGACAGGTTGTTGTAGGTGTAGTGCGCCTGCACGATGCCGCAGAACAGCACCGCCACGATCCCTGCAGTGACCGCGAGACATCACCACCACCACCATCACCGCCGCCACCACCGCCACCACCGCCACCACCACCGCCACCACCACCGCCACCACCGCCACCACCACCACCGCCACCACCACGATCACAACGGAGACGTCTTACTAATCGGCGGTGTCGTGTGGAGGTGGGTTTACAGCACATTTCAATTGAAGCAATCTAACCCAAAAAACACCCCATTATCTATGTATGTATGTTGAACTTCTTTCGCACCGTACGTAGCCAATCGTGGTAATCGGAGGTGCGGGGGGAAGGACAATTAAACACAAGAAGCAGTTTTAAAGAAGTGAGTTTTCAATCTAGATTTAAAAGTGCACAGCTCCACAGTGTATTCCTAATAGAGGTAGGAAGAGCGTTCCAGACGGCCACAGAAGCGCTTTCGCGACCAAAATTACGGCGAGTAATATGTCGCGAAAGCTGTACGCATTCAAATGATGATGATGTTGATTGGCGGTGCAGTGCGGGTCGCTCACCTGTCATCCCGCAGGCCTCGGCCAGGAGGAAGGTGCTCCACGACAGCAGGAAGAACAGCGCCGTCTCAAGCAGCACAAACTCCCGCAGCTTCGTGAACTTGGTGATGTGAGATACGCGGGGGGCGGAGGGGCGATGGGGGGGTGGGGGGGCGGGGGGCAGCGGCCGAGGTCGGAGGTCGCGCGGTTAAGGATGTTACCGCCACCATCGTCTGACCTCGAGTTGCTCACGGCCTGGTGTCACCGCCTATTAACCCTTTCCCATTTGTGTACGTCGTCGGAACGGGATCGGAAGAACTACAATTAAATGACTGAATCGGAACGTCTTCAGGTCGGAAGACGTACCGAAGCTCCTTAAAGGCGATGCGGGAGGGCGTGTGGCACAGTTCGGCGCCAGCTGTCATAGAGTGTGGTCGTGTCGTTACGGTTCTTTGCGGTGAGTACAATGTTTTTAAAAACAAAGCTAACGGCTTTTGGTTAGTATTCGAAATGTATTGCTACAGAAGGATACTGCATCTAAACTGGACCCAGAAAGTGACCAACGCAGAAGCATGAAAAAGGTTCACATAGAAGAAGACAAAATGATGATGCAGGCAGTGATGAGAAGGATACTGGCACTATTTGGACACACGTGGGATGGACAACAACAGGAAAATGAAAAGTGTGTTGTTGTTGTTCTGAAAAATGTAAGGAACGAGAAAGAGAGGAGGACCTGACAGAGGACGGCTTGACGACGACACCACAAGAGACTGGTGCCAGAAAGATGTGGTGCACTACTTGAGCACATTGGCACTACAAGACAGAGATGAAAGTGGAAACAAATGACAAAAATGTGCAGTGGACACCTACGGGGCCATCTGCCCTTGGATCGTGACGCCGAGCCGCTCGCGCGTCCCGAGATTCGGCGGCGAACGGGACACCCGCCCCGCGACTTGAGACGTCTCGGAGTGGCGATAGGGGCTAGACGATAGCACCGCCCGCACCAAGACGTGCGCGCACGAGGATATGAGGGCGGTGAGCACGGCCGTGGAGGCCCCTATGGCGAAGGAGCCGCTGAAGACGCCCACGAAGTGGCCGACGGCGCTGAAGAAGGCCCTGGCGTCAAACGAGTGTGGGTTCCCCGACGCGGGGCTGTACAGCGCAATGGAGCTGTGTGGGGGGCACGGGGCGTGGAGGGTGACTGGTCATCACAGCACTTCAAGTGACACCGCCAGCTGTGAGGTTGCCCGTTGATCAACTCAATAAAAGTAACCCAAAAAATATTCTAAATAATTTGTGGTTTCACCAGATAAGGCGGCACTCAGCTGCGTAGCAACTTTTTCAGAAGTGACCTGGCCATCACAAACGATAGCTCAACGAAGTGGGCTCACCGTCAGGTGGAAATTTATATCGGCCGGGGGTGGAAACCGGAGGACCCCGGAGAAAAATCCACACGACCACGGGGAGAACATGCAAACTCCAAATATACAGACGTCAGGGTCAGTATCGAACCCACGACCTGCATACAAGGTAAGGTAGTTCACATCTCGCCACCGTGGCGAAATGTTAACTCGGCACGGTGGTGAGTTAACGTCGAACACTAAATAATCGCGAGCGCCGGTGTGGAGAATGAATAAGCAGACGATTCACTTCCTTCCCATATCTGGCCCTCCGCGTGTCCCATCGGCCTTCTGGCCTCCCAGGAGTACACGATTCCAGCGGCATGGGTTCAACGCAAGCAAACTCTGTCCGCACCGACCTCCGTGTGCCTTGTTGGCCTCCGTATGTGGACTACGCGGGGTATCTTTGTCTTTATTGTGTCGGTGTGTGTGTATGGGGAACGGTCGTGTAGTGGTTAGCGCTACGTTGCACTATGAACCCGGGCGACCCGGGTTCGATTCCAGCTCGCGGCCAACACCAGCGACGATTATCTGAATCAGTCCTGGATTTCACTTAGGTCGGCTCAGCCTTAGATGAGTACCTGATGTGGCGTGTAAACATCGCCACCGGGGAGACAAAGGCGGCCAGACATGGTGCAGGCCACCCACCCCCTCATGTGCCGTGCCGACCTTCACAGGCGCTACTCGCTAACAGCACTTGCCCCAACAGTCTGTTAAGGCTATACGGGGGGTCTTTGTCTTTGTGTGTGTGCGTATGTGTGGAGGCTCACGACGCGAGCACGATGGCCACGGCATCGTTGAGGACGCTCTCTCCGAAGAGCAGCGCGTACAGATCCACGTCCACCCGCAGGTCCTGGAAGATCGCCAGGACGGTCACTGCCAGGGGCGTACGACACACAGAGACAAAGAGCCACCCACGTGGCCTTAACAGACTGCTGGTGGCAAGCGATGTTAGCGAGTGGCACCTTATGAAGCCCGACACGGCGTGGTGGCCGGAACGACCGCCCGGTCGCCTGTGTCTACCGAGTGGCGATGTTTACACACCGCACCGGGCACTCATTTGAGGCCGAGTCGACCTAGGGGAGGGCCCAGGACCGGTTCAGATAATCGTCACCGGTGGTGGCCGTGAGCGGGAATCGAACACGGGTCGCCGGGTTCGTAGCGCAGCGTAGCGCTAACCGCTACACCACCGCTCCCCACAGGCACGCACACACGCGGTCATCCGCACCATACTTCCAACGTTGCCGCTGTGGCGACACCACGTGGCAACACCACGTGACGACACCAGGTGGCAGCAGAGAGACACGGGGCGACACAGAGAGAGAGGCACTCCCTCCCTACCCCCAGCAGCACGCAGGAGGAAGGACTTGAGGCAGGGAGAGGGGGCCCAGGGGGTTGTGTTCGGGTCAGGGTTTGGTGGACTCGGGTCAGGTTGACAGCGAGGGTCAGGCCTTGTGTTAGGGTCATAGGGAGGGCCAGGGTTATGGTTTGAGAGAGCGAGTTAGCGCTTGCGTTAGGCGCAGGGCGAGAGGGAATGGGGTCAGGCCTCGTGCTCGGGCCGCGGGCGATGGTTGGCGGCGCCACCTGGGTCAGTGGCGGACACGATGGCGCCGAAGAAGAGGCAGTCGTTGAAGTAGAATCCGCTGCTGCGTTGCTGCCCCATGGCGACGAGGATCTGCGTGAAGCCGTAGACGATGAGCCTGGACGCGTCACACAGAGGGGCGGCATGCGGGGGTCACGTAGGGGTCACGCGGGGGTCATGTAGGGGTCATGTAAAGGTCACGTACAAATCGCTTGCTCCCAGCCAGAGGAAAACCCGGTTTAATGCGAACGTTCTGACAAAATTGTCCAAAAACATCAACGAGCTGTGATTTGGGGATGGATAGAAATTGTTGTGGTGCCATATCCTGACCACCTCATCGTCTTGTGGGGTTGGAGAGTACAAACAAATGCTCACGTGACCCACCTACCTTGCCTTTGAAATCACCGGGTCACTAGCATCGGGGCGCCACGGTGGTGAGATGTTAACTACTTTGCCTAGTATACAGGAGGTCGTGGGTTAAATCCCGACCCTGACGCCTGTATATTTGCAGTTTGCATGTTCTCCCCGTGGTCACGTGGATTTCTGTATATCACTGACCTTCAATTTGTTCAAATTCACTGCTCTGATACTTTATTCTCTTCTGCTTTCGGTCGCTGGGGTTGAAATCAATTGGAAATCGATCAAATATCTGGAAAATCACCGATAAATGTCTATTTTACCATAATGTAGAACCATAAATTAGACTGACCTTTTGTTGCTGCGTAGAATTATTTATTAGATTTACTTTCAATAAAGAAACGTCAAACTTAAAGCGAATTTGCGTACAAAAAAATATATATTTCCACGTGACCTTCTTCTGCTTGAGTGTAAAAATTGACCCGCTCATGAATATTCATGATGGGGGGGTGCGGCATGTGGAGTGACGTCACGCGCATTACACACAAACAAATTCTTGGCTCATTATAGTAGTAATATGTGATGTGTGCACAATGACCGTTCTTCATAGCATGTAAATAATATTGCATGGAGAGGCCATAAAGATAGTAAGAGATGGACTCGACATTTTACCCAAATGTTTTTTTAATGTTTCCTAATATAAAAAAAAAAAACTTTAAATCGGCATTTGAATAATTACAAGAATAGTAGCTATTGAGTAACAGTCAAACCCTCCAATAATCACAAATGCATTCCTTAAACAAACTAATTTGTATTCACAGTTATATTATAAAATAAGATGCCACGTCAACGAAAGAGCAACGTTGTTTTTTACTCTTAAACTTTTATCTAAAGAAGAAATGCCATCTCGTTGTTGTCGGTGCGTGCCACCGCCTGTGACAACGTACGGCTCAGAAGCGCTACAGTCACTCTCGTCGAATCCGGAACGAAAACCGAAAAGCGTGCAACAGAGAGGCAGGGAGAAACGCATTCTATGAATTACAGACAGAGTTGACAGAAAGAGGAACACATGGGATGAGAGAAGACGCACACGCGCACAGGCTAGTGACATCACCCCCGACTAATCAAGGAAAGAAAGCGGGGTGTGGGAAGAGACGCGTCATTGCTCGAAGGGGCGATGGACGACGTCCAACAAAAAAAAAGATGGAACGGAGCGACAGCCAAGGACGGGAAATGCGTCTCAAAGAGGACATCCACCGGGGAGATGGAGCGATGAAACCAGTTCTGGGTGCAGGTGCTGGGTGCATGATCACATCGCAGGATCGCTAGAGGTGGCGCGAGCTTGGGAAGGCTTTCGTCCAGCAGTGGATTGACCATGGCTGATGATGATGCTGATGATGATGATGACGAATCTACGGACGTGTGTGGAATTTTACACGGCACTGCTTTGTGCATCGGACGGGGCCCCATCGTTTATTTGGAGCGCTCTTGCCGAAAACATCCGGTCATAACATCTGACTATTGACCATTGCGATGCCTTACTTTCAAGAGCCCTAAATTGACCTCCCGAGTAGCCTGCAGCCCGTCCGAAACGCGGCCGCCAGGGCCTTCAACCGCACCGTCTCTCACGCCGGTGCTAGCGGCCTCCCTGCGTTGACTCCCAGTTCAAACCCCCGCCGAGTTCAAGATTCTCCTACCGGTGCTCTAGGCTTGGAACGGGCTCGCTCGTCAACCACACGTCCACGAGCTGATCCGGCCACGCACTCACTCCACCGAGATTCGCTGAGATCCATCCACCCGCCGTGCTCTACCCGGCTCCGACCCTGGTCTTCCCCACCAGACTTTTGTCCGCACGACGCCCCGGCTCCGGAATTCCCTACCCTATGAGGTCAGGGACTCGCAGTCCATTGGAGACCTTTAATTCGCCGCCGAAGACCATCACTCTCTCTCTCTCTGGTTCTTTATGTCGCCTCGTTAGTCTTCCTCTCCCCGGTTACTTCTCATTTACTGTCCTCCTTTACACGCATGGCGCTCTGCGGTCCATTGCTCAAGGGCGCCGTATCCATCTAAATTATTATTTAACAAGCCTGACTCTGCTGATGAGACCCGGAAGGTTGAAACCGGTGCAGAGTTTGCGCCCTTAAACAAATGCCGCTTGATGATATCGGTCTAGAAATCCAATCGGCTGACGATGGACTCGTGGGACGCAGCAGCAGGGAGATCTGCCCATGTTTGCTTTCAGACCTAAGTGGCGGCGGCGAGCCCGACGCCGCGATCGCCTAAGCATTTCACGCACGCTCCATCACCGCGCGTCAATAATTTGAAGGGTAAAACGCGTCAAAGATCAATCCGTGCAATTTCCCGAAAGTGATGTGTGGGGGGGCTCTATTTTGATGGATTCAATCGTTATAACCTCGTCGAACATTTCAAGAGTATTCTTGGAACCGAGCGATTCCTAAAAACTGGGCGACTGGCTCCTCCTGCCAAGGGGTTTCTGCGTATTGTCGCCTTAAACGGCATTGCTGCGTGTTGTTTCACTTCACGCAAAACGGGGGCCAAGAAAATAAGAATCTGCTTCCCATAATTTACAACAGCGACGGGGACACACGCAAACAAAATAATCAAGAAATTGTGAAACGCGACCACGGGAAAACATTGTTTTTGGTCGTGGCTATTTTTGGGCGTGCTTTGTCGCCTGCTTATGCTCTGTACGTACGTACGGACTTCTTTGGCGCCGTACGTAGCCAATCGTGCTAGTCGGAGACGCTAAATCCGCTTCCAATGTCACGGGGCAGTGGCGCAGTGGTCAGCCCCGCTGCACTACGAACCGGGCGACCTGAGTTCGATATGTGGCCACGGCTGACGTTCACCCCCTTTCTACACTTCACTAACCCGCACTGACCAGCGTGGGGAGTAAGGTAATACAACCTCCTTGACTGACACGGCGTAGGGGAGGCCTTCATCCAGCAGTGGATTGACAAGGTGCTGTAAACTCTAATGTTTCCTACATTCAATATTATTCAACGTATGCAATATTGGTCGATACAATGTCGTTGTCGGTGGTTGTTGCATTCATGAAAATGACATGGGTGTAAATCCAGGGACTTGGTGGCTGGGTTGATGGATCGTGGAGAGATGGAGCCATGATGTGATAATGTAGGCTCGAAGTAGTCTAGAATGGGCATTAAGGTCGCTCATCCAAGCACTATCCAGGCCTAAACCCTGCTTAGCTTCGGAGATCTGGCAAGATGGGGAACAGATAGCACTCGCCACTGATGTTAGCCGTGGGCGGGAGTCTAACCGAGGTTGCCGAGTTTACGGAACGGCGTGCTTACCATTGCATCACCGGTGAAAGAGGCATTGAAATGAAAGTGAAGATGGGCGTTGCTGTTCCTGCACAGGGTGAACATGCCAATGGCCCTCAGGCCCTCTCCATCTCCTCTTTCGCTTCCCTTTTCGTGAAGGAGCCGCTACCACAGTGGCGACGTAAAAAAAAACGCCCTTGGGGGGGGGGGGTGGGGGACGGGGGGGGGGATGGTAATGGGTGGCGTGGGGAGCCAACGTGGGCGAGCGCACACGAGCGACGGAAAAATTCTCCGAAAGTAGTAACGACGAGGCGAGCGACGCCTCGGGCCAGTTCACGTGCGGGGGCGGCACGAGCGTTTCCGTTTGGAACAAAATTTCCGGCAGCAGTGTTCATGAAAAATAAATAAAAAATCATCAAAGTCCCCCTTGCGCTGTCGGGCTGCTGGGCGGCACTCGGCATCGTGTCGAAGGCTGCGAGCCAGCGGTGGAAATTCCACGTTTCTACTACGAGGTCAAGCTCGTACATTTGTCTTATTTATTATCATTCGTAGCGTGCCTCCTACGCAACGCACACCTTGAGTTTCTACGCGGGACAAACCGCTGCTGTCATTCCCACAAAGCGGTACTTTGCTTTATCGACCTTTTGGGTAGTGTTGTTAAAATGTAAGATAACTTAGAGCAGTGAAGGAAATTTTCTACAGTATTTAACTGAGAATTATCGAAGGCAGCTGCCATGGTGGTTTAATGGGTAGCGCACTGGACTTGCGATCCAGAGATGGACGGGCCCGATTCCACCTCTTGGCGCGGCGGTTGAAACAAAAACTAAATCATGGGCCAGGTATTCTCAATTGCTACGACCGCTTCCACTGTGCCACACAGCAACGTTTTTTTTGTGTTCGTCGCAGGTGAGTCTACAGGCAAGTCACGAGTGGTGGGGTAAAGCTCGAGAATGGCGACCCCTTCCTAAATAAGGCTCCACTCGGAACAACATACCGGTTTCCTGGCCTTCAGAAGCGGTAATCATCCCTGTAGGACAGGGGGGTCGCCAACCAAAATAACAAGAGGAGACTTTTTTTGGGGGGGGGAATTCGGTAAAAAAAATATAAACCTCAATATTTCAAGCGCCGCAATGCATGTGGTGCATCGCGGGACGCTGGCGGTTCCTTCATAAATAAACATCGCGAAGCAGCCCTCAAAGAGGCGTACCGTGGGCCCGGAGCCGCGGGTTGATGACCCCCTGCTGTGGGTGGGGGGGATGATGGTTTGGGTTTGAACCCTGAAGTGAACTCTGTCTCTCTCAAGAGCGAGGGGTTTGATGGGGAACGTTCGGTCCCCTAGGTGCGTCTCCACGTCCACGGGTCTCGCTGCATGAAGGAGAGCTCGATGTTTATTCCGTATTAACACGTTAAAGATGAACTGCCTTGCTTTTACTTGCCCCGAAAACAGCGATACGGTTTTGGGATTTGAAAAAAAATGCACGTTTAAGCTGACTGCAGCACCGCGACACTTGAGTCGACCTCCTTGTGTGTGCGCCTCCGTTTAAAAAAATCCGTTCAATAACCTCTGAGACAGAGCGCCGTTCACTTCGTCGACTCAAAAACGCCACGCGACCACGTGGAGAGAGACGCGCAAAACTCCAAATGCACAACAGGCGTCAACGGTCGCGGTTGAACCCACGAGCTCCTGCATACTAGGCGGGGGTCGTTAACGTCTCTCACCACCGTGGCCAGCCTAAAGCCATCGACCGAAAATAGAAAAAAAATGCTTTCGCTTCAGTAAACTTCGAAACGTTTCTTCTGGCGGTATTGAGTCGTCTGGACGCAACTAAAGCGAGCGGGGGAGGTTCGGAAGCGCGAGCGCGCGGGGAATCGCCCCGCACCTCGGGGCCGCGCGACGATTTTTCCGCCTTGCCACCGCGGTACCCGACACGGCCGATGTATAATTGATTCCAAGCCCACCGCGTGTCACCTTTCCAAATCACCGCCCCACGCCACACAGTCTCTGGGCATCCAGCAGAACGGTCACGTCACTCGCACAGATTCGGTGAGGCGCGAGCGGTGGCACAGCGGTCCGCGGCCGCGAGGCCGGCGGCCCCGAGTCCCATCCATGGCTGACATCAGCGGCGAGCGATAGCTTGGGGGCGCCACGGTGGCGAGATGTTTACTCCCTCGCCTGGTATGCGGGAGGTAGTATGTGTGTACTGTATTTTGAACTTCTTTCGCACCATACGTAGCCAACCACGCTAATCGGAGGTGTGGGGAGGGACAACAATATGTGGTGGGTTCGATCCCGACCCTGACGCCTGCTGCTGTATATTTGGAGTTTGTGGTGTCTCTCTCTCTCATCATCATCACGGTGGCTAGGAGATGTTAACTACCTCGCCTGGTACACAGGAGGTCGTGGGTTCGATCCCGACCCTGACGCCTGCTGTTGCTGTATATTTGGAGTTTGTGTGTCTTTCTCTCCCCGTTGTCGTGTGGATTTTTCTCCGAGTCCTCCGGGTTTTTCCCTCCACATTTATAATCAACACGCACTTCGAGGATGTGGCTGCTATCAATGTTCACACAATCAGCCACTTTGTTGAGCTGGCATTCGTGGCCAGGTCGCTTGTGAAAAAGAGCTAAATCACTCAGTCTGCCTTACCTGATAAAATTTAAAAAATATATATATATTAATCGTTTATATCCGAACTTTTGTGGATAAGCAATGCGAAGCAAGTGTGGGGGAGGGGAGGAGTGGTGGTGCAGCGGTTAGTGCACTCTGTTGCGAACCCGAGTTTGATTCGCGGCCACGGCTTCACTAACCTGCCATGACAGGCGTGGTGAAGTATGGTCAAACAACCACCCCCCCCCCCCCCGCTCCCCCCTCCCCGGCACCACGACTGACACAGTGTGAGGAAAGCCTTCATCCAGCAGTGGATTGACAAAGGGGTTCACGTGGATTGAGCCTCAGCATAATAGCACTGGAGTAGTGCGGAGCCGAACGTTTTCTGCAACAGGGAGATCCATTTATAGATACCCCGCTGATTTATAACTTCTCGACAGCTGATTAAAGGGGGGAGAGAGAGTGTTCAACGATTTTAGGAGTGCGCTGAAATTGGTGGGACATGCGCGGAGGCTTTGAAGTAAAATATTTTCTTCTCCATCATGTCTCTCTGTCATACCAGTGGGGCGTCTCTATATGGATGTTTTTTTTTATCTTGTGTGTTTCGAACTGCCTGCTTTAAAAACGAAATAAAAATAACCCATTACACCCAAACAAAAGGCCAACTTTTTATTGTTGCTGTTAAATGTATCCGTCTCTAAAAGTGGAATCCGCCAAAAAAATGGCCAAAAACCAAAGCATTTAATAAAGTATCAATTTTTCAACGGTTAAGTCACGCACGTGTTCACAAAAAAAACAAGGAATTGAACATAAAGAGCAGTTTTGTGAGCTTTGATTGCGGCTGAACGTCTAAATTCCTTGCGAGTGACGCGGCAAGGCCTGTTATTGGACAACAAAGGGCCCTCTGAGTGAGAATGGTCCAGACAAGCGGTCACTCTACCCCTGTGAGGGATGCAGGAAGGATGGGAGAGGAAGAAGGGGGGCGGCTGTCGTCGGGGTCAAGGGTCAGAGTCTGCAGTGGGGGGAGGAAGGGGTGGGGGTGGAGGGGGGGGAATCTCTTAATCTCTTACCCAATGATGATGCAGGATATCGCAGTGCCCAGGAATGCATATGTCAGGATTGAACCCAGGTTTCGGAAAAAGTGCCGCTGCAAAGAGAAAGACAACCGTGATGATGATTGTTATATATCAATCATCGTCATTATTATTACTCCCCTTGTTTACCCAGAACAGCCTCACTGAGTCTCAACTCTATTATCGAAATGGTCTTGCCAATTTTTCACAGTGGGGGGGGGGGGGGGGTAACGTTACTGGTGTGTTATCCCAATTGAGTCATTTGCAAGAACATTTTTTCAAATTTACCATATTCGAAACGATGACGGTGGTGGCACACGATGGCCTCCTCATGTTGAATGTTGCTATCGTTATCATTATTACTGCGGTCGACACTCGCAGGCGGGCGATGACCAGGGCGGCCTGCCGGCTTCGAACCGCAAACCTCCACGGCAAGCGGCGAACGCGCTGCTGCCGCTGGGGCCACGAGGCTGACTCGGCAGCGGGTACAAGTTCTGCCCCCTCCAGCACCCCACCCACCCACGCCACACCACGAGGCTGGCTCCGAGACAACTTTATGACAAGAATAGTCAGTCAAAGTCAAACTTGCTTACTCTCTCCATTGATATAAGCTGTTGGCGCATAGCGGGCATCTATCCCAACACTATCCAGGCTCAATCCCACTTAGCTTTCGAGATCTGACAACATCGGGCAGCATTCTGAGGGGTTCAGTCAGAGGCAACCGTTTTAAACGCGCACACCCACAAAAAGCTTTTGCTTTTTGTTATTTACACTCGGATGCTGTGTTATTCATCTTCCGTTGGATGTCGAATAAAGATCGTTTCCGCATAACGTTGAATTCCTCGACTCGCGAATCCGTTTTGCCGCACAGCGGATGCCTCAGTTCACGATCGGCTCCGTCTTTTGCTTTGACCGTCCCCACTGTCCCCGGCGCTCGCTGTTCTCACACGATATCGTGGCCCATGTTTGTTCTGTCACTGAAGCCCCACTCGCTTCTGTAAACCCCTGCTGGCCTTTTCTTTGTAAGAACTGCGAGCTCATCTGCGCATCTATTTGCTGTAAGCCCCATCGATGGCTGGATGCGCCCAAGCAGATGGGACCTCCTCTTCACCGCCGCCGCCTCCGTGTTCTCTTGCCTAACACGACCAATCTTAAAAGTGAAAACGCGTCGATGCGTTGGCTGTGTCCGTCTTTGTCGGTCTCCGATCGCGGGATTCCCAATAGCGCTCATAAAAGACGACCCAATACGAGTGACATTTTAGTACGAAACTGCGTTGTTGCTGTTATTGTTGTTGCCGTTGTTATTGGGGACTCACCCTCGGGGAAACTGGCCGAATTGATCCAAGCGGCTGTCCGAAAACCTGCCCATAAAAACCCCACCGCTCACAAAAGCAAACCTCTTTGGCCAAGGCGATGACGTCACCCGCCGCACGGACTGCGCCGCTCTCTATTGCTCTCCGCGGAGCCCCCGTGTGGTACAACCTCTGTGCATGGTGGCCACCCATCCAATCGCTGCCCAGGCGCAAAACCCTGCCGAGCTCGCGAGAGACGTGTGACAATACCGGGACGGTGACACGGCTCAGCGGTAGCGCGTTCGCCGCTTGTTCCAGAGCTTTCGCGATTTGAACCCCGGTTAATACCGCGGTTGTGTAATTAACCGTGGCATAAATCTTGCACCGCCTGCTTCGCAGTGGATGTTAAAGATCCCCCTGACGTCATTGGGCAATAGCGGGCAATTGTCTGCCGGCGTGACGGTCCAAATTCATCAAATATTAAAAATGTACACCGCAAATTACTTAGTTGCATTTACACACGGCAATTATCGGCCGCGACTGTTAACCTAGTACAGATAACGTTGCGCTACCGCAAGGCTGAGTATGGCACGAATATAAAACTTGACTAATTTACAAATTAACAGAATTACAATTCCGAGTGAGGCGGAGCTGCTGTTTGTTTTTCTGAAATCCGGCACCTTGCACAGAGCATTTCACACCAGGCCCAACCTGCCTCACCAGTGTCACACAAACCAGGCTCATATTTCACTAAGTTTGCACAAAAATAGGGCTACATTTCCAATTCAAATCAATTCCCAATGTGCCCGCTCATTCTTACAATGACAATGATGATTATAACGATGGCAATTACGATAGATGCTTCCCACAGGCAAACTTTGCAGTAGTGAGCTTTTGTGACTGTCGTGTACTCTAGACTCCTAATAAGGATTCAATCGGTGTACAGTCGTCTCTCTCCGCATCACTGCTGCTGCTGTTGCTGCTGTCATTCGACCACATACGCTCAAATGTATTTTGCCGGTGACATTAGACAAGAGGACCACAACCAAGTTAGTGTGGAACGTTGGGCCAACGTTGGTCCGACAGTTCCTACAACCTGCCAACGGTGTCCCCAACATTGGCATGTTTTACTGGGAATGCATTTCTTCAGGAGCTGTTGATGGCTTTCGCATAATTAGTACAGGGCAGAGTGGTTGCTTTAATTGTTGTTGTACAGGTTTTCTGTGTATTGTTTGAAACGAGCGGAGGTTAAGGTGATGCGACGTACCCTCTTGAGGCTGTACCCGGCGTAGAAGATTACTGGAGGGAGCAATACGTTGAAAAATACTTCTGGGTCAAAGGTCGCCTGAAACGAGAATTAAAAAAGACAAGGGCATGAGGGATTATTCATCATCATCAGCATCAACGACAATCGTTCCACTGCTGGATGAAGTCCTTTGCAAGCCAATGCAAAAGGCTTAATTAATCGTTCATCATCTGCCATGATCAATCCTTTGCTGAATGAAATCCTCCCAAAGCTGTCTCAAAAGGGCTGTAAATCATTATAGTTATTCATCACGAATGCAATGTTGGCTACACTGAGATTTCATTCATGATTAAAATAGTGATCTACCGACTTTTGTAAATCCATTGATGGATTAAGGCCTCTCAAAATTGTCTGCCATGGGGATTGTTCAACTATACTTTACCAAGCTTGTGGGTGCAAGTTGTTACAAAATGAGCAGTATCCAGGAACCGGTTCAGAAATCACTTGCCACTGATGTTAGCCATAGCGGGGATCAGAACTCGGGTCGACAGGTTTGTAGTGCAGCAGGAGATAACCACTACACCACCCCTCCAAAAATCATAAATAATGTTCGTATGCCTGATTCAACACAGGGAATGCATTTTAATGGGCGTTTAACCTTTACAGTGGCTAACTGTTATGGTAATGCCGCAAATTGAATAATCCTTTAGCCACGTAACCAAACGGATAGAAACCATACAACTTTGTCCGTCTCGTAAAATTAATCACTCGACAGGCACGAGCCAGTTGTCTCGCGAAGTTACAATTACAATAAACCACTCCGGTCCATCCAAGTCAACGTTGGAGTGTGACCTTGCCCTAAAAGGGGGGTGGGAGGGGGGGGGCATAAAAACTTGGAGGTGGAGGGGGGCACATGACACAAAGTGAATCTTTAAACAAATGTTAAGTGCACCGAGTATCGACACGATGCGATTTCGTGTCTATCGTGAATTCTGCTCCAGCTCTCGTTTGCGTGCGCGTACACACGCACGTACGCGTGCAGAACTTCTTTCGCACCGTACGAAGCCCACTGTGCTCATCCGAGGAGCGGTTTTTGACGGCCGACGCTTGAATTGCGGCTGATGTTCTTGGCTACGGTGCCCAATGTCGTTGTGGAGAATTTAAGTAGCAAAATAAAGAAGCCGGCAATCTACCCTACCCCACTCCTGCGTTACCATCTGTCCATCCACATTTTTTGTCTTTATGTGGAAAGAAGACGATGGCATGGGAGCCCATAATATCTTCATTTGTATATTGTCTTATTTTAAATAACTCAACACATTTGTCAATAAACACCGCGGCCTTAAAAGGCAAACATATATTGTGCCGTGCTACAATAGGTGACGTTTTGTGCAATTGTCCTGCTTCATAGCATCTACGTAAAAAATTGTCTTAATAATAATACAAATAATCTTTAATTGTGCAGGAAAGCCTGCGCTTTAAGTACCTGCTTCAAGGAGGGCCCTGGTACATTGTGATGTACCAGGGCCCTCCTTGATGTACCAAGAGGGGAAGAACACACAAACTACCAGGTTTTGCACAATCTTTGCCCACGCCCTGGACAAAGTAATTTCAGAGTTTCTCCTTTAACTAATTTCTGTTTGCGGGTGACACCACGCACACACGCCAATACCAACATCCTGCCATTCGCCACGAAGTGACGGTGATGTCACAACGGCGTCTGTGCCAGGCTAGGTGCACTTTGAGGCCACGTGAAGTGTCGAAAGCTCGCTGACAGGAGGTCCCGGGACAAACGCAGATGCCATGGGTTGACCGACTGAGATGACTGGTAGATGCACCAGCTGTACCCCCTACTGTGCCAACTTGCTGCACTTTAGCCACCCGGGGCTCTGTACATTGTTGTGAGCATCGCTCCTCTGCCCTCCGTTGTTGTTGGAGGGCGACTGCCTCCAACTGTCCAGGGGAAAGATCCCCCGTGTAGCCTGTAACAGACTGTAGGGACAAGTGCTGTTAGCGAGCACCTATGAAGGCCGGCATGGCACACGAGGGGGTGGGTGGCCAGCATCACGCCCGGCCGCCTTTGTCTCCCCAGTGGCGATGTTTACACATTGCACCAGGTACTCATTTGAGGCTGAGTCGACCTAGGGGAAGGCTCAGGACCGGTTCAGATAATCGTCACCGGTGTTGGTCGTGAGCGTGAATCGAACCCGGGTCGCTGGGTTCGTAGTGCAGCGCTGACCACTACACCACCACTCCCCGCTATAAATAAGCGCACACACACAGACACACACACAGACACACTGACACACACACACGCAGACAGACACACACGCAGACAGACACACGCACAAACAGACACACGCAGACAGACACACACACAAACAATAACAACAACCGCCATTCGCCACTAAGTGGCGGTGACGTCACCATGACGCTGTTGCCAGGCCATGTGCACCTTTAGGCCACGTGAAGTGTCGAACGCCCGCGGGCAGGAGGTCACGGGGCAGACCCAGGTGCCACGGGTCGACTGACTGAGATGACTGGCTGATGCACCACCTGTGCCCCTTAATGTGCCAACCTGCTGTGCTTTAGCCACCCGGCGCTCCGCTCGTTGTTGTGAGCGTCGCTCCTCCGCCCTCCGTTGTTGTTGGAGGGCGACTGCCTCCAACTGCCCAGTAGCATCCTTCACGAGCCTCCTCCACAGAGGCCGATCTTGACACCGCTGGTACCAGTCATCGGCAAGTCCACTCAGCTCCACGTCCTCCTGTACCACATCACTCCATCTCTTCTCTAGCCCGTGCCGCGCCCGCTTAGCCCCCTCGATCCGGCCAAACAAAAGCTGTTTCGGCATGCGGTGGCTGGGCATGCGGGCTACATGACCCAGCCAACGCAGCCTTGCCTGCCGGAGGAACGCACAGATGGGGCCTTGCCCAGATCTTTCAAAGATTTGTGAGCTCCTCACACAATCCAGCCTGGTTAAATCCAGGATGGATCGTAGGCAGGCCAGCCTAAATGTTTCAAACCGGCGAAGATGTTCCATTAGGGGGGTCCACGTTTCGCAAGCGTAGAGAAGGGAGGGAATAACCGTGGCTGAGAAGACCTGAAGCTTAGTGCGGAGCGACAGACCAGGTAGCTTCCACACGGCGTTACGCAACCGATAAAAAGATATTGCTGCTCGACTGATTCGGAGTGAGACCTCTGCTGTTAAACTGGAGCCGGTCGCACAGAGACAAAGACAAAGATCCCCCATATAGCCTTAACAGACTGTAGGGGCAGACACACACAGACACACACACACAGACACACACAGAGACACGCACAGACAGACACACACACAGAGAGACACACAGACACACACACAGACACACACACACAGACACACACAGACACACACAGAGACACACACACACAGACACACACAGAGACACACACAGACAGACACACACACAGAGAGACACACAGACACACCCACAGACACACGGCACATGAGAGCCCCAGGCACGATGCTTCTGCGTGTTCTTACGCAACTGATATCCGTTAGAAAACCTCAATTCCTGTGCCAGGGCACAGAAGCTTAGCATGTTGTGCAAGTGTAGGGGGGGGGGTTTGCAGGAACACAACACCGGAGATATTTAATTTTTTTGTTGGGTGTTAAGCCATCTCTTTACGATGTGTTTGGATGTGCGTGCAACACACACAGGCCGGGGGGGGGGGGGGTCATGGCAACAATGGGTGGGGGTCATGACAACGGCAACTTGAAGCAATGTGTGGGCCGATGCCTGCTACATTGAGGGCAACATTGGCACGTCAAATGAAGATTGAAGCAAATGCAACGTCCGCATTTGTAGATAGAGTACAGTACTTGTCCCCGCAACCCCGCTTGATAATTAATTGGGAGCGAGCCGTAGAGCCACGTCCTTGTCAATCCACTGCTGGACGAAGGCCTCGCCACCGTGACGGCCACGTGGCTTGTTTGACCATACTTCACCACACGCCTCACATCCCTTGAGAGTGTTCCATCTCAGGAGGCGTGCGGGACTTTTATTTCGGGCTCGGATTGGCGACCATCGGCGCGCACAAGCAGGTCGCTCTCGACTGCAGCGTGGAGCAACAACAACAACACAACAACAACAATAATAAAATGTTGTACTGTGCGGTACCGTTATTCTATGCTCCCGAACCGGCACTGACCTACGCTCAAAGAGCCCCCCGTGAACAGCACGGTGGGGGGGGGGGGTCCTCGTGTCTACACGTGCGTGCGGCGTGCACAACAACTTAGTTGTTGTTGTTGTTTTGGTGGTCGTGGTGGTGATGGTGGTCTTCTTCTTCTGTACGGCTGCTGATGTACAGGAGCAGTAGCGGAGTGGATCGCCGTGATGACTCCCTTCGCATTTGTGGATCGGGCGCTTGTCTCGTTATACGCTGTGTGCAGTCTGTTCTGGATGATCGCAGTCGCACACGGGATAGTTGTTTTTAATTTCCCATTTGTGCATCAGGTATCCGCATCTGCCATGGTTTGTGCGGATGCGGTTTAGGGTGGACCATGAGCTCCGTGGCTAGTGGTTGTTGTGTGTGTGACCCCGTTACAACAGCAGCACTCCACAATGAGAGTGTTACTGCTGTTGGTTTGGTGGTGGTGAATGGGTGAGTGGTCCCGGTACAGTCGATAGGCTCCACTACGACAGCGTTGTTGTTGTTGTTGTTTTGGTGGTTGTGGTGGTGGTGGTGGTCTGTGTGTGTGGCAGGAAGCGCCACGGTCTCTCTTATCGCGACCCTGGCACGTGCTGGACGTGGGCAGCACGCCGGCTGCCCCGGCAGGGACGCGGGGAATCGTTGTAGGTGGGATGCGTGGTGTCTGGCGGTGGCGACGACGATAACGATGGAATTTACAAAGCGTGAATTATTTCACGCGCATAAATGACCGTGGCTCTCTTGAGGTGTGGAGCCAATCTCGGCGTCGCTAGAGCGCGAAGGCGACAGAGGTGGTGGCCTATAAGTTTCCCTTCACAGTCGGTGTACATCGAATTCATCTGCGAGCGTGCAGCAGCAGCAGCGGGTATGCCACCGAGAAACGAGGCCTGCCAGCAACCGTGGTTCTG